CTGCAGTCGATTGGTGATCATGATGTTCGGATACATAGATGCAACGTCCAAGTGATAGATGAAGGGCACTTCATCCCTGTGTGGTCTCTCTTTGAGGTCAATCAACTTGTCCGCAATTTGCTTCTTAACTTCCTCGTAGTTCGTAACATCGTCCATCGACTTCTTCTCTTCTACCTCGATACTGAACTTCAACGCCGCATCCAGATCCCGGAGGAGCTCGTCTATCGCAGAAGGTTGCACGTTGAACGTAACAGGGATATCGCTTCGAAACACACCAGCTTCAATACTCTCGACGTGTCCTCCGACATACGTTTCTGATTCGAGTAGATGTCCTTCGTAGAAGGATTCCGGGGGGTCTTTGTGCTTGTTTGGCAGGACGATGTTTCCTTGATACGCCTGCACCATGAGCAGCATCTCACATAGAGTTCCAGTTCCTTTTCTCAGCGTGTCGTCGGGGTTGATAGGAAGAATCGTACACAGGGAGAAGATGAAGGGATGGACATATTTCATGTAAAGGTAGTATGTGGCGACGGCATCGGAAACGGAATATTCTGCCAGGGTCTGAGGCCGTTCGCTTGCGTACGGAGTCATCAGCTCTGGGTCGAGTTCGTCGGGATCGTATCCAAGCTTTGCGACTGTAACAGCTTTCAAACCGCGACTTCCCTGGGGCAAATAACTATCACGGTTCACCCAGGCGAAGCAATCCATGTGAACACAGTGGTCACTTTGGTAGATATCCTCGCTGTTCTTGCGGAAACCGATCTCTCTGTACATGTCGATGCCGAGAACGCTAGCCCTAGCTTCCACGAAAGGCCAATCGAAAAAATCACCGTTATAGGTAGCAATGACAGTAGGCTTCGCTTCTTTGATATGTTCGAAGAATCGCTCTAGAACACCGCGTTCGTCGGGTTCGTTGAAGATCATGAAAGGACCACTGTACTCTGGCTTGGGCGTGTATTCGAAATCATTGATGTCTTCGGATACAATCTCACGGTTGGTGATTAGAAAACCTTGCCCGTCGATCATGTAGGATATCATCATGATTTGGTCAATCACGGAGTCGGGAAATTTTAGCGGTAGCTTGGTTGTTTCAATATCGAATGCTAGAACGACAGGGTCGGCTCGCGTGAGTCGTTCTTCTATGCAGGTCAATGAGATAACGCCGTGCTTTGCCTCTACTGTATACCATTTTCCTATTCGGATGTCTTGAAGCCGTTAGCGACGTGAAGAGAATACATATGATACGGACACATACCCTTGTCAATCGAGACTCGAACATGATAAGGAACATCATATTCTCGAATATCAATAATGAAGTCGCTCGCGTTCATAGTAGCATTAGATCGTGATTCATTAATAAGTTCATCGTCAAAAAGATCGAACCCAGCATTTGCGCTAAAGATACCAGTCAACGCAAACTCCCAAGAATAGACTCCAGATCAATGCACGTACCTGGAGATCTCCATATAAGTATCCATCACATTTACATTTTTCTTGTTTTTCTCCGCCAGAGGAAGAAGTGTTTTGCGAACCTCCAACAAGTGGCTCACACTCGCAAAGTTGAGTTGGAGAAATGTCCGTTTGTACCCAAGCAGGTGGTTTGGCAGTTTGAGGTCCTCTTTCTCCACCCGCAATACCTTCTTAATGAGCCCTTCAAACGTTCTCCGACACCAATCCTCGACCTCAGTTTCACGGCCCTTCTTCACAGCAATTAAGAAATATGGGTCGTATTCAACAGTTGCCTTGAAGCTCCCGCCTCCATCTTCGAGAAAGTAGTAATCCACGCCGGCGCGTCCTCCGGGGACATTCGGATCTTCTATGGAGGTACTGTGCATGTTAATGAGCCAGCCGACTCGCTTTTCGCCGGACTCAAACCGAGGGAACCCCAAGGATTCATCGATGCTGTTGGCCAGCCGGATTGCCTCGAATTTCTCATCTTGAGAGGTTGCTTCGGTGGATCGGAGGGACGAGAACTCGATTGTCTTCGTTCTTTTGGGATTAAAGGAGGCCGCGCTTGATCGGAACTTGTTCCCAAACTTGCTGGGTTTTCTTGAAGGCATTGCGACGGCGACGCGCCCACTGGCCGGGGCTGAAGATCACTGCAGAGCAAGGCGATGATGAGTTAGGCGAAACATGGAAAAGCAATGGTGTAATTAACACAGGACAAAGCTGCGCATAATTGACTTTTGGTGGGAATTAGCTTCTTTTCTTTTGTGAAATGGACGTTTCTTCACAGACACAGTTGAGCGCGCTCCAATGTAACTGAATTGGTCGTTGATCCACTTGCATGTTGCGGAGCCCAGATTTGCCCTACGCCATTCCGACGCGTTCGCGTTTTCTACTTTACGCGTAGTCATTGGATGATCGCGGGCAGCTCGGGGAAACTATCCATTTCTGTTGGTTATCCGGGAGATACCGGATAATAGGTTGATCCGTATACCGCGCATAGTTACCCGGTAGAGAAAATGCCCGCATAAGGCAATAGATTGGACATAGAGCGACGACGAGGTATCTCGAACCCACAATTGGATATCACATAATGGCCGACGATGCGCGGGACCCAACTACCTCCACTCCGGAAGTGAGGGAGCCTGGGCAACAGGGAGACCGGAAACCGAAGCATGAGTTTCCCAAGTCGCAGGTCGGGAAGCTGTGGGATGCCTTCGGAAACCCCGAAGAGCCCGTGAATATGCTGCCTACAGCGACCACCAAGACTGGACAAAAGGCAAAGGATATCACGGTCACTGAGGCTATGAAAACAATGTCGCTCGAAAATGCCATGTCTTTCCACAAAGCGCCGTGTGCGCGTGACTCGCTGCTCCTCGGAATCGGGGCCGGGTTCGGTGTAGGCGGCGTTAGGGGCGTGGTTGGAGGTATGATATTTCAATACCGGATCTGATATAATACATGGTTGCTGATGAATTGAATGAATTTAGGACTGCGCTCTATGTGGACCGCTTGTAACTGGGCGGTAGGTGCTTTCGCTATTACAGCGCTTGCAGCCCACGAATTCTGCCAACGGCGTCGCGTGGAGGAATTAGACGGCATGAAACAGGCAGTGGAGTTGATGAAGGCACTCAAGGACAAAAAGCAACGTGAGAAGGAACAAAAGATCGAGGAAGCCGCACGTTTGGCGGAGGAGGAAAGGAAACGGAAGAGCTGGACCAACCTATCGAACTACAAATTTTGGTAGGCTTTTTGTGCATCGCATGGAGTACTGGAGTTGGATGGAATCTCATTGTATAGTACTATGTATAAAGTGGGCTTGTTGCAAAAGTACATATTCCTCTCTATGTTACGGGCTGCTACCCTATCCAACCTTGAAGTTGTGATGTCGTCATGTCTCGTGTCGATAATTCCAATCCAACGCCCGTTTCGATAAAGCCACAATAACCGATTAACTCCAGAAGTGGTAGGGATATCGTAGAGGATAGAAGGTGTGTCTCGGGAGAAGGGAAATCATACGCATACGCATACTCATGTGAAGTCCGCATCTAGACGTCAAATTTGACCCTTTTCTGAATGGCGCCAGATTGGATAGACCGTATCCTCTCGAAGTCGGCACCGTCTCGGCGTTCTCGCCGCTTTTCGCGCGCCTCTCTGGCTTCACGGCTCCTCCATTCTGCGACCTGTTTCTTTCTCCTCTCTGACCTGGCCCAAGCCATTGCCGCAGTCGGTTTGAAACCAATTCCATTCAGCCCATATCCGTCGTCAGTAGGATCAGTCGGGTTGTGACCCGTGATTTCCGAGTCATGCCATGTAAGTGGGTTCTCAGCTGTATCAGTTATAAGAGGTGGTGATGCACTGCGGCTACGCATCGTGGAGGAAGTCGTAGGGAGCTTCTTTTTGCGAGGGCTGGGTGTCGATCGTCTCTTTCTGGGAGATGGTGATCCAGTTTTAGCAGTTTCAGGAGATTGGGTAGCTTCCGCAAAATCTGACAATTTCCCTGGGCTGGGACTAATCTCCATCGCGGTGTTCGCTTCGGATAAGGCGTTAGACTCATGGGAATCACCGTCTGAGGTAGGCCAGTTCCCCGACTGTGCAGTATGTGCGACTATGCCCTGATCTACTCCATACGGCACTGGCGACGTGGAAAATTGATCCCCGCGGATAGCCAATCGCCCCAAGCGACCAGCGACTAGCGCTCGCGGGCTGTATCGACCCCAGTCCTCTGCTTCCCGGATCTTGGATTCCTGGGGGTTGGGGATTGAGCCGCTTGATGTAGGTGAAGCGGAAGGACTGCGATAATCAGAATCTTCGGACGATGCTCGCTTACGTGTAGGCGATTCAGAGGACATCGTCGGCAGGGTAGTTGGCATCATCGCGGGGCTGGGATTCATTGCGAAGGTGGGGGCATCACATCGACCGCGCCGGCTATGGTAAAGAATGACACAGTAAGTGTGCGCTAAATAATAAGGCTAGCTTCTTAATATCTTGACCAGAGTCATAAATGAAGCCATTATAACTAAGTAAATGCGGAGAGCACTGATGCTCGGGCCATGATATATGGTAGTGACTGAACGAAGGGAAAGCGCAATGGTTGTCAGTCCTCGCTGGGGGGGTTGAGAGGGGAAAGCTGGTCTGGGTGGTCATCGGCCCCTTCCTCCGCCCGGTGAATAAGCAGCGATCGACCCTGTAAACTTAGATTAGTTAACTAATTAGTAGCCAGGATTCCTCCGCTGTTGGCTCGGATTAGATATCCAGGACACGGTCGGTTCCTTTGTTTAGATCGCTACTGAATTCCGTCAAACTACTACTAGTACTTTTTCGCTTACAGCCAATTGCCATGTCATATAAGTCTAGAACCAAAAAGCCATATCAGATTGGCAGCAAGAACTACAAACAAATTTTGGCACGACACAGGCCTCAATCGAATAATTTACAAGATACCCAGCCCATCAAGTCGTCAAGGAGAAAACAGAACATGGTTGGCAAGAATAATAAAGAAAACCCATCAACGCCGCGACAATGACGCCCTCCTGTCCCAAGACTCGGTACTTTTAAACCTTCTTCTTCTTTTTGGACGGCTCAGCATCGCTGTCGTGCTTCCGCTTCTTCTTCTCGGACTCGCCCTCGCCAACGTCAGACTTGCGCTTCTTCTTCTTCTCCTCCTTCTCGCCCTTCTCCTTCTTCTCCTTCTTTTCCTTCTTGTCCTTCTTTTCCTTCTTCTCCTTCTTGTCCTTCTTTTCGGCCTTCTCATCAGCGTCCTGCATCTCGGCATCGCTCTCAGCGCCGTCAATGTCCATATCAGCAAGGACAGCATCCATGGCGTTTTTCTGTAAAACCCATCAGTAAACTTGTTACGAAGAATAGGGAGTTTTGGTTCACTAGTGTAGTAGCAATCACACTAGCTGTATTGACTTACCATGGCGACTTCGTTCTTGGTAGGAGCAGCACCAGTGGCGTAGAAGTCCAGACGCTCCTCGACCTGCTTCTTAAGGGCCTCACCGAACTTGGTGGAGGGCTCCTCGGAGAAGTTGTCAATTCTGGAGGCGATGGAGCACTTGTTGGCAAGGAAACGCGAGATGCGACCCTTGTTCTTGGGGCCAGCTCTTCCAATGAAAGAGGAGTGGTACAGAAGACCGTACTTGGGGGTGTTGCCCTTGGTCTTCAGGGCTCTGAAAAGGGCCTTCTCAGCACCGAGAATCTGAACCGTAGAAGCGGGGTACTTGGACAGGTTGGTCAAGCTACCGGCGTGGGAGATCAAACGAGCACCAACGATCTCACCAATAAGGGCAGCAAGGTTGGGGGCGACAACGCTCATCTTGGAAATCAGGTACTGGTGGAGAGACTTGCGGTACTTGGACAGGCTGACAACGCGCTGGGCGAAAGAGATAACGTTCTCCATGTCGGTCTCGGAAATCTCCTGACCCATGCTGTGCTTAGCAGCGTCGATGATGCTCTGGGCGACACCCTCATCGTCCTCCACAAGGGCAGCAATGTCGTGCAACTTCTCGTCGTTCAAGCTCTTCTTGTCCTGAACGAACAAGGCAATCTGGGCGTAGCGCTGGTTGTCGGAGACGATCTTGTAGAGTTCGGGGAAGTGCCAGGAGTACCATTCCCTGACTCTCATGGAGAAAGTGTTGATAGCCTTGTCGAGCTGGTCGAGGATAGCAATGGCCTGGATGATGTGGTTGTCATCGCGCTGGACGGAGAACTTAACCTTGGCGCGAGAGTAAGCGTGACCAAGACCAAGCTGGGCGGTGTCCATATCACCCTCACGCAGCTGCTTCAGCAGCTTGGTGGCGTGCAGTCTGACACCACGAAGCATATCCTGGACGACTTCGCTGGTGTCTCCAGTCTCGCAGTCAACGAAAGAGAAGGCAGACTTGATGCTTCCAGCCAAGGCCTTGTCGGCCAGACCCAGAACAACCTTCTTCTTCTTGTTGGGCTTAGGCAAGTTCAATTCGAGGAAAGAGATCAGAGTGTCCGAAGCGACACCCTCGGAGACATCGTTGATTTCACTGAGGGCCTGCTTGTTGTTCCTGGAAGTTGTCAGAATCCTGCGGGAAAGTGCCCCTATGGGAAAAATTGAACCACATACTCGAAAGGCAGGAAACTGGACAGTTCGACCATTTTACCGAAACTGGCCAAGTCGTTAACACCTTCTTGAACCTCCTTCAAGCGGTTTCCCACGCTGTCACCCTGGTGGGCGACCTTGAAAAGCGAGTAGCCCATGGGGCCCTCGAACAGAAGGAAGTCGGCCATTGCGAAATTGAGGGAAGGGCCCTAAAAATTAGACAAAACGGTCCTTTACGTGCGACTTATCGTGGTCGCGTCTCAATTTCCCGGGGTTATGCGACCGTAGACCTGCCGTGGACCGACGTGGAGTTGAAGAAAAGCCTGGGAGGGTAGATTTGCAGAGTCGAGCCGTCGGAGCTCTTTTTTTTCGCGGCGGCGCTAGTGCGAACATCGAATGTGGGCTTTTTGCCAAAACTACAGCTCACCGCATTCGACGGCAAACACCACCAGGTTTGTGGCCGCGCGGGCATCGTCTTAGGGGCCCTACAGCACCAGCCAGCCTTATCTTTTTTCTCCGGATTTCTTTCGTTGGGTTTTGTTGCTTGTCGCTCTTTCGTGCTGCAGAAAATGTCTGCAACGCAGTTACTCAATCCCAAGGCCGAGTCGAGGGTATGCATGCAGTTATCCTTCTTCCCTTTACCCCCCCGAAACATTAGCCCCTCAGTGGTCCAGCAGAGACTAACTGTTCGTAGCGGAGAGCGGAGGCCTTGAAGGTCAACATCAGCGCCGGTGAGGGTCTTCAGGATGTCTTGAAGTCCAACTTGGGTCCCTCGGGTACCCTGAAGATGTATGTTTTCAATTTACGATGGTAATAGACAGATGCAGAGCTGACTGATCACAGGTTGGTGGATGGTGCAGGCGGAGTATGATTTATTTCCTCGAATACGGCAACTCGGCAGTTTTACTAACAATTCTGCGAATAGATCAAGTTGACTAAGGATGGAAATGTTCTGCTGCGTGAGATGGTGAGTGGTATCTACAATCAGGAATTATTAACTCTCATGCTAACTGGTGCAGCAAATTCAAAACCCCACGGCTGTGAGCTCGACCTCCCTCCTCCTCCCTCAAACGCAATTATTAATACAGGCAAAAGGTTATGATTGCCCGGGCTGCAACGGCACAGGATGATATTACCGGTGATGGAACGACATCTGTCGTCCTGTTGGTGGGTGAGCTTCTGAAGCAGGCAAATCGACACATCTCCGAGGGTTTGCACCCTCGTGTTATCACGGATGGTTATGAGATTGCGAAGAACGAGTCTCTGAAGGTCAGTACATCAAAATCCAAGATGGTTGGTCATCTACAATACTAAGCTATGGTGGTATATAGTTCCTCGAGCAATTCAAGCTTGAACGGACAATTGACCGTGAACTCCTCCTTTCCGTCGCGCGGACGTCGCTCAGCACGAAGTTGAACAGCGCTCTGGCCGAGAAGCTTACGCCTGATATCGTCGACGCCGTCCTTGCCATCCACAGAGCTCCCGAGAAGCCCGATCTACACATGATTGAGATTATGACCATGCAACATCGCACGTCCTCTGACACCAGACTTATCCGTGGTCTTGCTCTTGACCACGGTGCTAGACACCCCGACATGCCCAAGCGTGTCGAGAACGCGTTCATCCTGACCCTGAACGTGAGTCTGGAGTACGAGAAGTCTGAGATTAACTCTGGCTTCTACTACTCTTCTGCCGAACAGAGGGATAAGTTGGTGGAGAGTGAACGCAAGTTCGTCGATGCTAAGCTGAAGAAGATCGTGGAGCTCAAGCAACAAGTCTGCGGTACCGACCCCAACAAGAGCTTCGTTGTCATTAACCAGAAGGGTATTGACCCCCTGAGCTTGGATGTCCTTGTCAAGAACGGCATTCTCGCTCTCCGGAGAGCTAAGCGGAGGAACATGGAGCGTCTTCAACTTATCTGCGGTGGTACTGCACAGAACAGTGTTGAGGACTTGACCCCCGATGTCCTTGGATGGGCTGGCCTGGTTTACGAGCACCAGCTCGGCGAGGAGAAGTTCACTTTCGTTGAGGAAGTCAAGGACCCCAAGTCCGTCACCATCCTCATCAAGGGACCCAACCAGCACACCATCGCACAGGTGAAGGATGCCGTTCGCGACGGTCTGCGGTCCGTCTACAATACCATCGTCGACAACTGTGTCATCCCCGGTGCTGGTAGCTACCAGGTGGCCTGCGCAGCACACCTCACTTCCGAGGCCTTCCGGAAGACTGTCAAGGGCAAGGCCAAGTGGGGTGTCCAGGCTTTCGCCGACGCCCTTCTCATCATCCCCAAGACCCTCGCGGCCAACTCTGGCCATGATGTCCAGGACTCATTGGCGGCTCTGCAAGACGAGCAGTCGAACGGCAACACCGTCGGTCTGGACCTGACCACTGGTGAGCCGATGGACCCCATCCAGGAGGGTGTCTTCGACTCTTTCCGTGTGCTGCGTAACTGCGTCGCGTCCAGCACGGGTATTGCCTCGAACCTCCTGCTCTGCGATGAGCTGCTCAAGGCCAGACAAATGGGCCGACAGGGAGGACCTGGCGGTATGGATGAGTAATGTGATGGCTACGTCTAAGGCGAGTTATTGTAAAGCGAGAACATCAGGTTCTTCCATATTCGGAACACCGGTATAGAAAAATATCCTACGTCGAAAATTGTACTTCACATACTTACGTATCCTAATCGATTCTAATCCACGAGGGAATTAATCGTGTTTCAAACCCGCTAGGATGTAATGTTGCCTCGTTCATGGCTGCCTAAGGGACGGTGAGTGCTTCGACTTGATCCGTTGAAAGTCAAAATGTAGGCAGCGAGATAAAGTACCATGCTCATAGCACATGCAAAGCACTATTGTCGCTTGGCTGTAATTACCAGTGAATAAGAAGTGAGCGAGTTGCGTAACTTGCCAATACGCAGAGTTACTCATCCGTAACAGGTAGCATCCTCGGATGTGATGTTGTTTCAGAGAGCGTACGTTACATACTACTAATTCTATGCGACAAAAGCCTTCAGGTATCTAATCCGTCAATCTATAGTATTGCTAGGTTTCATTAATAATATGATGCTCCATACGGTCAGTAGCGTAAGTAGAGGCAAATAATAATACATGACACGCTGTTTCCACATCAGGAAACATGGCGGTAGAACGTAACGATAAGCTCAAAGATAGGGAAATGCCAGGAAGCTTCTATCCAGCATCTTCGTCAACCTCATCACTGTCGACATTACTCTCTTCAGTGGACTCAGCTGGGGCCCATTTCCCCAGAAAACCTTCATCTCTAACAGGGTCTTGGAGCGCCATATGATGTGACTTGGCCCACTCAAGAATCTTAGATTTCCGAATCAACAAGGGCTCCTCTGCGCCCGATCCAGCCTCGCCAGATGAATCCTTTGTCCGGCGCTTCTTAGCTGGCGTCGCAGGTTCAACGGCCCCCAGGCCTTGAAGAGCGGTGACAACATCCTCAGGCAACATCCCCGTCGCCAGACCAATGTCCTGCACTGTCATGAGCTCGTGGGTATGTTTTCGCTTGGACGTCTTCGGAGACTTCTGCTTCAGTGGCACGGAGGAGCCCGACGCCTCTGCCTCCTTCGGGTTGCCGCCCCGTAACAATAGATACCTGGCTATTCGTTCCTGCCAGAACCGAGTATAACTCCTGTGGCCCATTTCACTGAGCGGCCGTTCCGGACCGCCTATGAGACCACTATCGCTCTCCCACGAACTGATTTTGTAACTCACGCCCATCAACAGCTTTCCAAGCTGCTTATGCTGGTAGGGCGGGAAGACGAGGATGCATGCGAGATTGTTCGCATCCCAGGAGAGCTTCTCTTTCGAGAAGAACCCCAGAACGTAGTAATTCTCGGGGTCATTGGGATCGGTAAAGACGAGGAGGTAGTAGAGGAAGGAGACGACATCGTAGAAGACGGACTTGTGATCGAGGAAAAGTTTGGCGAACAAGGAAAGGTTTTGCGCGTAGAGTTTGTGACATTCACCGTCTAGCTCCCACACGGAGTATCCGCCATGATCGTAGACTTTCGTTCCGGGAGGTGTTGTCCGGTGTTGGCAGAGTCGCGTATGTTGCGCGTAGGCGTGGACGTCGCACGAGTACCGGAAGCACCACCGACAGACGTACAACCGGTCTGTGTCTTTATTGACGAGATCTTCCGGATAGATGGACTGATACCATGTTGGGAAAAGGAGGTCACCCAGTACGACGTGCTTGACGTTACGGTCGGTGGAGGATGGTTCGGTGCGCGACACAGGGTCACTTGGAGCCATTGGAGACGAGGAGGGAAGGAAACGATAACTAAGGACTAGTAGCTAGGAACGAATGGCGTCAATTCGCGGCTTATTTCTCCTTCCTTCCCCCTTAATGATGAATTCGATGGTGATCGGGAAGCAAACGCGTTTCTGTGGAGATGCCAGCCATCTGTGACGGCGGTTTGTAGATAGTATTAGGTCCTGGACACTTTTTTTTTTTTCCCTCTCCTCCCTTACGCTGGTTGCTTTGGATAGGCCGGGCGGGAGGGATTAGCCTAAAAGAGTCCGGAAAGGCAGTACAGCTTACTTGCATATTTTCTGCTTACTATGAGGAGTGAAGGGAACCCGGAAAGGAAAGGTGGAGGGATTATGGGGTGCATTGAATACAATCGATTTGTTTAGCTAGTAGATATATGATACGCTCAAGCTTTCATTTTCCCTCTCACTCTGCAGGGACAATTGCTGCAGTCGTCAACTAGATTAGATTTTGGTATAGAGGATACGTAGGACCTCCATCCACCAGCGGATTCCTTCCCGTCAAATTAAACCAGTCAGACCAGTTGGACCGGGTCAGTTGATCTCCGTCGCCATCCAATCATATTACCGCCGCGCGGGGAGAAAGACAAGCTTGACTGCAACTAGAAGAGTCTTGGAGTTCTTGGGATGTTTGGAGAGGATCCAGACTAACTATCATCTTATTGACGGATTACTTTACAAAGTACTTTTGGCTGACTAGATCTCTCCTCATCCGCAACCTCATTCCTTCGTATAGACTACTACTCACCATCACGTCAAACATTTCCTTCAATAATATCTGGTTGCCTGGACCCCTAACCTTCCCTGTGCCTTCCCTTCCCGTTACACTGCAGCTGACCTTCGTATGACGATGGT